TTTATATTAATAATGGTAGAAAATTTGGATTTATGAAGAAAAAAACACATGTTTCCCTTTCTTAATCCAACAAGATAAGATACAATATTAACAGAGAAAAGATGGTGTACAGATAGAATGAAGAGACGATAAAGTTGAAGTGATAGATATCAACATCAACGTATTTTCAAATTGGAAAATGTTGCAGGAATCTCCAAATTGAAAAGAAAGCGACAAAAAGATGCAAAGAAAAGATGAAAAAGAGACACTGCTAGCTGTGAGCTACTACTTCTGCACTTCTTTTCTGCTTTTGTCTGTTAGTAGTATTTTAATTTGACTCATAGATGTGAAATTATCCTCGGAATGTTAAAATATGATAATATATTAATATTAAAGTAAGTGGTTTCTTTTTTTAATTTGACTCATATATGTGAAATTATCCTCAAAATGTTAAAATATGATAGAGGATTGTTATATTATCCGAATTCAGATTGAAAACAAGGTTTGAAATTTTAAAATATTGATATTTTATAATAAATTTATTATTAAATAATTATTTAATTTAATATTTTATAATTTAAATTAATTTTTTAAACTTTTGGAATATATTTCGGACAATTCAATTGGAGGATGAAAAATTTTTCAATATGATAATATTAAAGTAAGTAGTTTCTTTCATATTATTTGATATGTAGATTTCGGAGGCATTATTTTTTTTAATGCTTTGCTTAAAGGGAAGAAAGAAATAGAAATAAAACAGATAAAAAATAAAATAAAATTTATGATTGTTTAATGAAATGAAATTAAGAAATAGATGGAGATTAGAATTTAAAATTATATTTTGTATAGTGAAAAAAAATAGATACAAAATAAAAAATTATAATTATTTAATAAAATAAAATTAAGAAATAGGTAGAGGTTAGAATTTAAAATTATATTTTATTTAGTTATTTTTTAAAAATAATTACTTTGAACAATTTCTTCTTAAATAAATATATAAAGTTATTATTTTATAATTTATTGTTAAATTTTTAAATTATATTATTTAAAGCTAATTGATAAAATTTAAATATATTATTAAAAATTTATTTAGCTTAATTATAATAATAATAATTATTATTAGTTTTATTTTAAATTATATATTTAAAAATAAATAAAATTAATTACATGGTATATATATATATAAGTCACTATGATTATACATAATCGATTATTTCAAACATATTTTTTTCAAAAGACAAAGAAAGAAGGACAAACAATTTTTTTTTTCTTTTTAAATTTCATGCAAATCTCTTCATTTTAGTGGGCTTTTTTTTTTCTTCTTCTTCTTTTTATTTTTTTATTTTTATTTTTTTTAACTTTTTTTATTTATGTGAGACCAAATTCTATTTATCTTCATTTGTTCACAAATCACTGTTCCCAAATATTTTAAGTTCTTTACAAATTATTTATCTTTTCTTTTAATCCATTCTAAATCAATGTCCAAGCACATCGGAATAAATAAAGATGATAAAATGGGTCGAACACTTTGACTCATCTCACCTAAGGGTAGGTTAGTAGGCCATTCGACCAAAAAATTTAAAAATAAAATAAAAAATAACAAAAAGAGATAAAAGAAAAAAAAACTTTGCATATTTATTTTGAGTTACTCTTCTAACATAATTTTTTTTCCAGTATTTAAAGAACCTATATAAATCAGTTCCCTAAATAATAAAAAACATTAAATTACAATTGATTTGATTTAATTTATTGCATAACAAATATCAAATTACATATAATAAAATAAACCAAATGCTCAATAAAGTTGTTGCACAACAAAACACATATAACACATAAAATAAATTTAAAATGACTTAATTAATTAACCTTATATTAAAAATAATAAAAAAACAAAATTTTTTTAAAAAAAAATAGGTAGGTTAGTGAGTTAGTCCGTTCTACCCTGCCATTTAACTTATCAGGTTGACGAATTAAGTAGAACGAGCTAAACAAGCTGGCGGACTAGAATACCTAGTTTGAGCCATCAATTTTTAGCAGACTAGCAAATTACCTTGTAGGCCATGACCAATTTTACCACCCATAATAATAAATAGACATGGGTAGAATTGGATATAATATTTCTAAAACAATACTAACTATAGAATTAATTTATGTATTCATTCAAAGTTCAATAGCAGTTCAATAATAATCAAATTAATTTTAATAAAATAATTATAAAATTAATAATATTAATAAATATAATAATATGATTTTAAAACCTTAAAAATTAAAATAAACATTATTTATAAGATCTTAACATCTAATGTATATGTTAAAGTTCAAATTAAGTATAATATAATATTTAAGTTCAAATTTTAATAACATATAACAATGTGTGATATTCTTCTATTTCAAAACGTTTTTATTATAATATAATCATAAAATAAGAAAATTTATAAATAATAATTAATACTAATAGGTGAAATGATTCACATCAAACTTTTCACGTATAAAACTTCATAATCAAATATTAAAATAAGTTTTAAATAAAGATAGTTTGGCATTAAAACAACCTTTACAAGTTCAAAAAAATGTAAATATAAAATACAAACTTCCAAAGTCATCCATATGAAATCAACACAAATAAATTAAGTATAGTAATTACACCTCTAAACTCCAATGACACACTAAATAGAGCAATTCCATCAAATAAACTAAAGCCTAAGTTTCATCTCTCAGGCTCAAAACTATCTACTTGATCTGCACTTAACAATGACATTCAACTCAAACAAGAAAACATAACACAAACATAAGAGATTGAAAATACATTTCAGACATGTATAATGCTCATAGAAAGAGAACATGCAATATCTAAAATCACCCAACACACATCACACCCTTAGCACAACACAATCAAAATCTCACCACACAGGACTCATGGACTAGTATGCTCTTAATCTCCATATGCATGAGGTGCATGCATATGAAGTGGGTTTGAAGAACATTGACAAAGATTTTCATACAATGGGTAATCATACATGTAATCCACTCTTAGTAAAACAAGTATATATCTATCAGGAGCTAGTTTGAGTATCACAGCTGATCATGGTTGTCTCTCATCCCACTCTTAGATAAGAGGCTTCTCATCATAACATCCTTAAGGTCAAGATAGAAGACCGTAGGGACCCTCCCATATATACTCACATTTTAACCCCAAAAAAATGATGCATGAATGCATAGAGTCAAACATATCACACATTAAACCAAAGATGCATAGCACGCATGTCTTGTTTATTACGTTGTTAGGCAAGAGTAGACATTCACCTAACTAGACTTTACAAATGACCAAACATAACTTGTATTTCACACTATTGAGCCACTGCTTGGACTTACTTGCAACACGCATAAGAATGCTATATCACAATGTCTCAAGCATAAGTTCTCACAAATATAAATTCTACAAATTCATTATATCAATCCATTACTCATTAACAATAGTTCTCTCAAGCATTCTTTTTATTTATTGATATAAATATCTTAAACCCTTCTCAAGATTAAACACTTAAGAGATAAAATAATTCACAAATTGTCTTTTCTTATATTAAACTTCTTTGACCTTATGTGATCTAATTAAACACAATATCTAAGACTGTAATTATGCTATTAAGTTGATCTTAGACAATTATAAATATAAGATAATTATCTGCAATTTATATGTGAACTTCAAGTGTTAATTTTACCATTTACTACACTTCAAAATTACAAAAATGCAACTAGTGTTGACAAATTGATCTTTGTTTACTAATTTAATTATATCTTGAATTTTAAGTCTTTTTTTTATAGTGATTTTAATATCATTGGAAAGATAATATCCAATACTATAATTCTTATGAAGATCACAAATCATATTTCTATCATTATTTGTAATTGAATAATGATATAATTATTTTGAAAGGGAAAGTAGGATAAAAATATATACAACAAAATTACCATGTATAAAATATAACTATAAGAAGAGTGAGTTGTGTTAGTAAAAAGTATAATAATTTTAAACTATATATAAACTGAAATTAATAGGTGACAAATAAAGTGAGATAGTTTATAGTTAATAAAATTAGTAAAATAGCCATAAATAAAAATGAATAACAAAGATAACTTCTAAAATAGATATCCTTTGTTTAATGAATGATATAATGCTTTTGATCATCCATTTAGGAATGCTAATTTGGGAGGATGGGAGATATCGGTAATGATATAACTTCATTTTTTTTTTATCTTCATGAAACATGATCATATATATATATATATATATATATATAGCAAACATAATTAATTATTTTATGTAATAGTATATATTCATATTTTTTTGGTAATTATGTAATAGTAAACATTTATATGATCTTTATTAATTAATTTTTAAAATAAATAATTTAAATATAAAAGTAAAAAAATGTAAATATAATAATAATAATAATAAATAATTGAAATAATAATAAAAATAATAAATATACTAAAATTTATTAATTTAATTTAATTCAATATAAATTAATTAAAAAATTATCTTCACTCTATTTTTTTTAATCTAATTCTATCCTATCAAATAATTATAAATTCTACTGTATTCTATTTCTGATCTATTTTTCAATAAATCATATTTATTTTCTTCCATTTCCTTCCTTCCTCCAAATAAAGTCTAGGTGTGATTTGATTTGGTTTAATTTAGCTTGTTTTTTTTCTGCACAACCCTGTGTGATTTGATTTGGTTTAATTTAGCTTGTTTTTTTCTGCACAACCCTGTCTCATGAATCGAAAGAGACAATTTTCTTAATTACGACCAAACCATCTTCAAGAATTAGATTATCTGTAACTGAAATAAATTTGAAGAGTATAAATCTTCACCAATCAAAATATTTGGTACACGTTAAATTATAAAACTAAAACATAAGTAAGTAAATTTTAAACGGTTAAAGGTGGAACCGGATGCTACAGTTATTTCATGTTTCCTTTTGTTTATATTCTCTTGTCCCATGAAAAGGTTAACATATAGTTCTGGAACTTATCATACAAAAGAAAATTAAGTGATGTATTTTCCATGAAAAGAAAAGTGGCACTGATCAGGAATTGAACTAGTAGAATGGCAGGTACAAGCATCGCAGCAAGTGGAATAGTTCTGGAAGCCCTCAGAAGAGATAACTACGAGAACTGGAGTGCTCTTGTGAGGAATTATCTAAGAGGTGAAAATCTGTGGGACGACATTGTGACAAATGCTTCTGAAATTAGTGTGAAACCAAAAACTGTTTCTGAAATTGGTGTTAAACCTAAAAGTACAAGTGTTTCTAATTGGAAGAAGAGGAATGCTAAGGCTTTGCATATTATTCAGCTAGCATGTGGATCTGAGATACTTACTCACATTAGAGACCTTGAAACGGCAAAGGAAGCTTGGAACAGATTATCTGCGTTATACAGCTCACAATTAAAAGCTGATCCAGATATTGAACAAGGTGTGTATATATATAACTTTTGAGCTTTTACTTTTCCATTTAATTAAGAAAAGAAACTTCTGTTCTATTTCAACAAGAAAGTTTGCTTTTCTTGTGTCTTTTAGAAAGAATAGTGTTCTTTATAAAGCAGCCTGCTTGAGATCGGTCGCAAAATCAAATATGGGAAAAATCTTTCTTATCGAAGTATGGAACCACCAAAAATTTTCAGCTGCTTCGGATGCCTTCAGTTGAAAGATTTTTTTTTTTTTTTAATGTTCAGGATAATTCTTAATAATCATGAATTATGAAAATTATAATTTCTAAAAATAATTAATCATATGTTGGCTGATGATAAATATTTTTAAAAATATTTAAATATTTTTCTTGATAATCAAATATTTTTATATTTAGTTTTAATAGAACTTCTTCAAACTTTTATATACAGTGGACTATTGTTTATTAAAAAATTTTAAAAAAAAATTGTTCATTTAAGAATTTTTTTATACAAATACATTAAAACAATAGAAATCTGCTAAATTTAATTAAGAAAATATTTTTTTTAAAAAAAAAGAAATTTAAACAAACATATCCTTATTGTCACGATAAATTTTGTTTTTTTCAACATGAAAAAGTTAGCTCACTCGTCATGAAAGTGATTTCGTGGAAAATCATGTAAACAAAATCTAAAAAAAGAAAAAAAAAACTCTTTGAGAATCCTTAAAAACATCTCATACATTATAAAAGGGAAAGGAAAGCCAAATGAGATCAGAGGAGTTAGAAATTTTGTTTCTTTGAAAAAAAAGGAAACAGAGGAAAAATAATTTTTTTTGTTTAATTTATAAGGAGGGATTTTTTTTTTTTAAAAAAAACTAATTTACTTTTGCATCATTATAAATTTAAATTTAAAAATAAATAGATATTTTTGAAATTATTTACAAATATTTTAAAAATTTCTATCTTATCCAAATTCTTCAATATTGGAGGAAATTTAAAATTAGATGAAAATGAATTCTACTTCCCTCAATTTATTTTCCCTTCTAAAAATTTAACCAAACAATAAAGGTTTATAAAAACATTTTTCTTCTCCTCCCTTTCTTTCAAACCAAACGTTATGTAAAATAAAATAATGACACTAGATGAATATGAATCGGAAAAATAATTCTTTTGTTTGATTTTTTATTATTTTAAAGAATCAATTAATTAAAAATTATTATTTATATGACTTTTACACTCACCCTAGTTAGAACAATTCAAAAAATAAATATTTCCACTGATTGGTATGTACCGCAAAGGAAGGAAGGAAATCAATACCGATCGACACAAGTAATAGCAATTAGTGTCTTTAAACCAATTTATTTAAGATCATAATCATAGCATTGTGTATAAAATAGACTATGCTTAGAGAAGAATATCTATTTTATGTAGCTCATGATGTTAAATAGAGATTAGTAACTGTTTTCAACTATAGATATTTCATGCTTAATTAAATTATTCTAAAGATAATTTTAAAAGTTTTTTTCTTCTTCATTTTCATCCTTCATATTTTTAATAAAGAATTATTATACTAAAAGAAAATAATCATTCATTTCATTTATTTTACCTTTTTTATTTTTACTTTTTTTTACTATACTAAACTTTAAAATCATCGTAAGTTAACATAAATAGTACAATATCTGGGTCGAATTTGTGTTTTCGATAACACAAATTTAACACTCTAGTGACCATAAAATTCTATTTTAGGAGATGTACTTATTCAAGGAGATTCTTTATTATTAGAGTTGAAATTGTTTTAATAGACTTATGTTTCAATTTGACAAGTAAAATCTTGGATCAAATTAAATACAACTAAACTTTAGCAAATCACTAAATAGGCAGTAATACTTGGTCTAAAAGTTTTCAATATTTCATTGACTCCCTATTAGATACCCATGAAATGTCATCTCCTATTTATCATTTTAAGCATTAAAAAAAAAATCAAAGAAAAAATAAAAATAAAAATATCTTCCACCGCGATTGGTATGTCGAAAAGGAATGAACAATATAAAGTAAACGTGGCCCAATACTTCTTTTAATCCGTCCATTTTGGGCGAAAAGACGGAAAAAGCTACTTTTGTATAATTAAATACTAAATTATTCTTTATTTTTTAATTTTTTATTTGTGATATTTGCCATTTTCTCACAAATATAAAATTAAATTATTTTAATAATTTTATTTCATTTAATACAGTAAAAAATTAATTTTATATTATAACTTTTTAAAAATATTTTTATAAATTTAAGTTACAAGTATTTTAGTCTGTACAATATAAATGCATGTTATATATATATATATA